GCTGACATTGACGACGTTGACGGCGACAGCGGAAAAGGAAGGGGGAGAGGAAGAGAGGATTTAGAGCAAAGGATGCTGCGAGGGAAACTTAAGTGGAAGTTCTCGTTCGATGGAAAAAATAATTGTTGCCACGGGTGATGACAACTGTAATAAAAGCTAATCATGAACCGCATCAAAACGAACTATATTGCAACATTTATAAAGATGAATAATTTATATATTTAAGTACTAGATACTCTTGCGCAAAACTAGTTGGCTTATATAATGAACATTATATATCTTTTTATAATAAACCTTTTTTGTACTTAAAAATTGCTAAGTTACTTAATTTGAAGCTTGAATTCCATGAATTTAAAATAGATTTCTCTTAACGCAAAACACTTAAATAACCATTATCCCTAATTGATTTAATTGCAGAAGCCTTCCACTTTGGCAAGCTGCTCTCCTTTCCGAGTCTTCGAGTCCTTTGCATAACCTCAAATTAATAATTCCTGACTAGTTTCGGATGTTTGTGCATTCCCATCTTGCCATCAGATACATTTTTTAAGGAATCCCAAACGGCGAAACGCGGACCGCAGGAGGCACAAAAGTTCGGAGGGGGCGGCGAGAGCTTCCTCACTTCATTGCTGCATGAATAATATTCGTAATTTGTCAAAAGGTTGGCCAAATCCCAAAATACAAAAACAGCAGCGGCCCAAACGGAAGATGAAGAATAAAATGGAATCCGAAAACAGAGCTGCGATTGAGCCACAAGGCCCCGGACGCCTCTCCCGTGTCCAAAACTGACCCATCTCTGAGTGCCGAGGCCCCCAAGGACCTTTGGCGAGCTGTTGCCATTATTCTGCGCTCCTCAGCTGGCCACAAAGGCAGTGGGGGCGAAAGGGGGCGGGGCGTGGCCGTGGGGGAGGAAGAGGAGTGGTGGCTCTACCGAAATAAAAGCGAAATTTCCTCTTCGCATTTGCTGCGCTTTATTAAACTTTTCCACCCACAGCCACACAATGTGAGTGTGTTTGTGGGTTGGAAATCCCCAAAGTTCCTGTGTCATTTTTTGTGCTTGACGTTGCTCAAATTTTTTGACAGACCCTGTCAGAGGGGTGAGTTTCTATATATATATAATATATATGTGTGTGTCTGTATATATTTAGAAAAAATCTTCACGCATTTCGCAAATTATCTTTTGATCCGCCCGCTTAAATTGCCAACGGCAAAAAAAAAGTGAGCAAGAGCAGTGGTAAACTGATTTGAACTATTCAATACCTTTTTCTTGCTGTTCGATGTAAATAAGTAAATATATTGGACTAACTTTTAGATAAAAATGCTATTAAAAATATTCCTTTGAGAAAATATAAACATATACAACTTAAATTTGTTTTTATAGCTTTAATTCTATGCCAGTCTTACAAATTATTATTTTAAGCCACATAAATTTTATGAAATTCAGAGACGAGATCATTGATATAAGAAGAGATTGCGGTCGGATCCCTAGAGGATCTCTACCGGCTAAAATACTCAGCACTTCCGAGCTCCACCAGTACCTACAGGGTATAAAATCCTGAGGAATGGCAGAGGAAAATACGTTAACACAATTTCACTTTGGGTGGACACATCTAAGCCGGGCCAATCGTCTGCCTAAGTAGTTGTTTGCCTCCCACCGCCCACTGTCGCTCTTCTGCCATCGAAAAGTAGTTTGCGCGCAAATCCTCAAGTTAAGCAAAACTCTCCAGGACATTAAGTGCAGCGCCAACAGACAACAAAGGCCAGGGATGGCAAAGTTTCCCCCCTCAACTCCCTGCTCCCCTCTCCTTGCTCCTCGACTCGCCAGCGACTGCCAAACGGATGATGGCCGGGATCAACGTTTTACCAAAGCCAGGGCAAAAGTTTTTCCAGCAGACAACGTGCAACTTTTTGGCCAGCGAGAAGTTCTTTTCATTGTCTTGAACCCCACTGACAGCTTCTGAAGGGGCGAAGGGGGGAAAAGGGGGAAACTGTCGCTTATAATGCGCACAATGAAGTGCACTTTTCCTACTCGCAGTGGCCAGAATTGAAAAGTGCTCAGCTTTGGCTCCTCCGGCATAAATATTTCCATTTTGTGTAAGCGAGAGATTTCCCAGGAAATGTGAGTGAATCACAATGAGCGCCTCTGACAGCGGCAATAAAAGATGCATTTATTCGAGGGCCAAGAAGCCACGTAAATGGGGAAAGTGAAATAATTTATATCAAGAATATAAATAATTAAATTGGACAACTTAAGGTAAGTATAAAAAATAAATACTTCACTTTTTAGTTGTTTGTAGTTAACATGTACTCTATTTAATTTTTAGCAATCAAATGACTTTCAAATTCGAATCTATCTACGGATGGTTTAAAGCCTTTTTCACTGTTTGTATAAATGACCAACTTTATAAGAGACTTGTTCTCTGTGTGTAAATGAATACAGAGGAGGCCAACCAGGCAAACACTTGTTGCAAAAATTTGTTGACTGTCGCTTAAATTTATGACCCAAAACTCGAGGACCGCAAAAAGAGCCAGCAGCATCCAAAGGATTTGGCTTGGACTGCAAGTTTGCCTCTCTACTCACCAGCAAATTATCAAATGGCAGCGAGATAAAAAGGGAAAAGAGGAGGAAATCGAGTTGAACTTGGTAAATATCAAAACAACATTAAGGCTGAAGAGAGAGAAGGGCCAAAGGGGCTACAAGTCCCATTGTGCTGACTGCTATCCATGAGTAACAACTTAATTGAAACGGAGCTTGGCTTTTTCCTCCTTTTTTATTTCGAAAAAGACCCCGAACAGACTCTTCTCGCCTTGGCCAGTCACGATCGGAACCTTTGTGGCACCTTTATCTTTTTATTTGTTCGCCTTAGTTGTTGCCTAATGCACGCTTGAAAAATGTCCAGGCGTTAAGTAGTTGCAATCGTGTTACAGTGGAAGAATAATTATTCTGAATAAGAAAATGGTATACTTTTAAACAGAACTAAGAGTTAAATCAAACTAGTTGAATCTTTAAGTGCAAGAATTTAACTTTTTTACTTGAAGTTTTAGTATGATTCCTCTTTGGTTTACATCCGCATTGATTTTTTTTCAATGAAGCCCAGGCAAAAGAGTACTTTTTACCTTCGGACCCAACCTGATCTTGCCAATCCCTCAAGGTAGGTCTTTTTCAATTCGCCAAACTGCCCGGGGCCTTCAAGCAATTTTCGATTATTTGTCCCACTGTCTCCTACTATTTATGGGCTATGCAAAATGCAGGCAACTCGGACGAGGAAAGACGAGGCGAAAACCTAAGCAGAAATAAACTCGTATGCATTTAATCATCGTAACTTAAGCTCGGGGATCATGTTGTGGCACAGTGAGAATGCCGCAGTTGCCGCCGCGGGAGATGCGGACCGAGCTTTGGGCCAACTCCGGCTTTAATTCCCCCCAGCCCCCATCCATCTCCCTCTCTTCTCTGACCGCTTCATTTTTAATAAAGAAAAGAAGGAAAAAACGCAGCAAAAAAATATATAATAAGAGAAAAGAGGGGAAAACTTCATGTCACCGTGCTTCCTTCTCCTCCTTATTTTTTAAGGCGCGTTCTTCTTACTTTTTTTGTGTTTTTTGCACCGCCGCAGAGGCGTAGAGGGAGGGGATTAAGACGACGGAGTGGCCACTGCCGAGTGGTGCTATGAATGGAGCCTCGGCGTGTTCTGGAGATTAATAAATTGATGGCATCCATTGCACATAACGTGTAACTAATGGCGCTCATCAATTCTGCTTTACATCTCAATCTGGCTTTGGCGAAAAAATACAGCCAGCAACAAACAAAAAACCACAGCGATATCCCTGGATGGAAATGGAATCGGGGATGGGGATGGGGATGGGGATGCGGACGGGGAGTGCTCCTTGGATTCGGTAATGACCCAGGAGCAGGTCAGCTGGCCGGGAGAAAAAAGGACCAGCCACTTGAAAGCCAGCTCTCACTTTCTCCGGGGAAAAGTGAAATGCCAACGGAATTCTATATTTGGAAGGGACTCGCCCTTTCACTCGAAAGGCAAGCGAATACTATCGCCACTTACGCAACATCCTTTAAACCTAAAACAGGACCACATGCAGCTTGTGTGCTCTACTTTCCAGTTCTCATTAGTTACGCCTCGGGTTTTGGCAAACCTTTTTCGGGCGGGTTTCGGGACTATTGTCGATTTGCATCAACTGGCAGGACCGCCTTCTGTGTTAGGATCTCCTAGACAAGCGAACCCGAGGAGCACCTCTTCCGCCACCTCTTTCGTCTTTCATCCATCGCCTTTCATCTGCCTGCATTCATCGATTTTCGGATTTGGGAAATTCGCAAATTTGGACGAATGTCAGGTATCAGGATGCCTTTTGCAGATGGATTACGGCTAATGTCAAGCAATTGGCCAAGGCAATAAAGTGAAATCACCCGGACGTGTCAAGGTCGTCGTCGAAGTATTGTGGGTGAAATGCAAACACATATGGGAGAGTATGCAGAAAGAGTTCATAAAACTTATTTGCTTTAATGTTGAACAGGAAATTTAAAATAAATAAAAGTGGCTTTCAATGCAGTAAAATATAGCGAAGTTACAAATATTCAAACAATTTTATCAAACAAAAAATACAAAATAAACTTATTCTCTCTACGGGTTAGCGTTGTAAAGATGACGGATGTGAGAATAGTTTTAAATGTCTTGTGTTGAAAACTCTGCTAGAATATACTGCTTGGCGTTCAAAGATCGGCAATCAAGCAGTAAACACTACGGAAAGCAGTAGTTCTCGAACTGCTTTACACTGCTTTGAACTACGAGGTTCGCTGCAAAAGTTCGAATGACTTAATTTAAAACCCTGAATTCGCTCTCGTTGTCGTATGCACAATTACAATTTCTAATGGGAACTACGATATCAACTCGATACGGGGGACTAACTACAGCAACCCACTACGATAAGAAGAAGAAAAATTCCACTTAATACGTTTCGTGGAATTGTCGATCACTTTCCTTGACACTTACCAAACTGACTTCGCATCCAGGGATACAGTGGAGACGGCATCCCCGAGGACTGCGAGTTCGGGTTTTGGGAAGGGGGCGTGTGTTGGCCAGGATGGCCCTGGTGCATCTGCGGAGGACCCTGGCCCTGGTGCATCATTCCTTGCGGAGGAGCGCCCACCGGAGGCACTCCCGTCTGCTGCTGGTACATGCCCATGTTGTGGTGGTTCTGGTGGACCTGCGGAGGAGGATGGCTCGGATTAGTCACACAGTAGAGTGGGGCTGGGACCTATCCACCAGGGGAGTTGTATTCTAGCGGTTGTGGATGTGTGAAGCGGATTCGGGCCTCCATCTTACCTCTGTCACGTCGGGAACTCCCACGTCCGTGTAGCCCAACTGTGGGTGCGAGCAGCGAAAGCGAAAGTGAGAGAGATGGGAAAAGCGTTAAGTGGTGGGCGAGATTGGCAGGTGGGATTAGAGGCTCTACAATCGGTTAATACTAGCTTAAAAAAACAAACTAAAGGCTATAGTGTCCTAAGAATTACTGAAAACTAACTTAACTTATTTGTTATTTTCCACCAAGTAATGAAATATGTTCAAATTATTAGAAAATAATATTTTGATTATTATTAAAAACGATAAGAATAAACAAACTGAATCATTCAAGTTGAATTGTTTTTATTACTAAATGGAAAGAATTGACATGTATTCTTGATTCCTAATATAAATATATTTTAAATAAAGTTTAACTACAATTGCATTTATTTTAATGATAATATTTGTAATGTGTTAGGTGATGGTATTTCGACAAAAGAAACTTCTACTAAAGCAACCCAGTTAAGCTACAATATACTGGTGGACTCACCTGCGTTTGCGGATGTCCCATGTGGTGGGGCAGCGTCATCTGGGCGTTCATGTGGTGGCCGGACATCTGATCCACCAGCGGTGGCGATCCGCCCTCGGGGACCATGTCCAGTCCGCCCACGGCCGCCTGCAACTTGCAACTGGCGTAGACGACGGGCTGCAAAACAGTAACCAACAAGCAATTAATATATAATTAATAAAAAATAGAATAGAATAGAATTCTTTCCATTGTTGCTTCTTCATATGATTATCAACATATAAACCTAATTGAGCAACGCAGCTCTTCTTATCTCTAAGCACACATTGTATTCCGATTTCCCATTGGCCTTTGCCTCTGGAAATCCGCTTCCGCTGACTAATCCAGATGATCCAGACTTCCGGAGGAGTCATCATCATAAGTACGAATCGGGTTGTTATGTGCGATCTGAGATCAAACCTAGTAGTATCCTGGAGAACTCACCTGGTGCTGCTGCTGCGGATGGGACACCTGTTGCGTCACCTGCGGCAGTTGCTGCTGCGGATGTGTCACTTGCTGCGTCACCTGCTGCTGCGGATGCGCCACCTGCTGCGCCCCCTGGCCGTTGGTCTGCGCCTGGGGCATGACCCCGCCCACCTGGCTGGAGGGGCTGTCCGGGCGGGAGTAGACTTGGTGCTGCTGCTGCTGCTGCTGTTGCTGCTGCTGTTGCTGCTGCTGCTGCTGCTGGTCCATCCCCTGGCCGTTGTAGTAGGGCATGCGGTCGTAGGGGGGAAGCGGGGGTAGGGCATGTTGCCCTGGTGGCTCGCATTCTGGCTGTAGTGGTGCATCTGCTGGGCGTCGAGGTCGGTGACCCCGTTGCCCGGGTAGTGGCCATGGTGCATGTCCGAGCCCATGTACGAGTTGGTGAAGTACGAGGTCATGCTCTCGCAGTTGTTTGTACTCATCGTCATCGTGGCAGCCTCCTCAGCGTCCGCTGATCCCGCCGCGAGTCCTGATCCTGGCGTGAACGTGATCGTGACTGTGACTCTGCTTAGTGGCTAGTGACTGTGGTGCTCCTCTGCTGCTCCTGCTTCAGCTTCCTGTCTTGCTTCTGCTCCCCTGCCTCCGTGCTTTTAGCTACTTTCCTTATATACAAAGTAAACTGTTGGATAAGAAAGTGATTAGTTGTATAAATTAAGATGCGAGGAGTTAGAATGTCAGCTAGATTGCATTTCCTCTTCTAAAGTTACAATATATTGGGGAAATCTTTCAACAAATTAAGAGGTATGATCATTAAGTTGACATTGACATTCCTCTTGATTAAAGTAATTATACTCACCTAAATAACCTTTGAACACTTAAGTACAATGTACAGTTGCGTAGCCTAATCTTAGCTAGTGTGTAGTTGTTGTGTGAGGTATAAAATGATTTCCGCTTTGCTGTTCCTCTGTTTGCTGTCTTGGCCAAATATAACTCTCTTTCTCTCTCTCTCTCGGTTTGGTAGAAAATCTCCCTTCCTTGGTGTTCTTTGATCCTTAAGTAGCCTTATCCTCTAGTTGGTATTCCTCAATTTTGATTTTGAAACTCTGTAAGTAAGGAAGAACGATTTTAATTGGTGTTTACTCCTCCAAGTTTTGGTTTAAAGTGAAGTTCGATCTGGGTTTTTGGCTGTGTGATTTCACATGTTCCCTAAGCTCGGAGCAACATGTGGAGCCCACTGACAAATGGCTTATCGCATGGTTCGACAAGTTCTTAAAAATGTGCAAAGAAATCTTTTTTCTGGGTATAAGAACAGTTTATAGGGTGCGGTTATTTCAGTTTCTATTTAAAATGTTATTAGTTATTTCATGCACATTGACCTTCAATTAAAAATAATATTTATAAACCACACCTGACAACCCTGCAATCGTTTTTAATGCTAAAATTCCACAGATCCCTGCCAAGATGCCATGCTGCAATGCCTACCGAAGAACTTTTGTGGTCCCCAAACTTCGGGTCTTCGACTGGCATGCAATTGCCCTTGTTCCACCCGCCGCTTGACAAGCTGACAACATTCATTGAATTTATGAATATGAAATCAATTGTGCTATCCCCTTTTGACCTGACATCCTTCCGGTCAAAGTGATTTAATTTCCTGGCTCATTATCACGAGTCTCTGACCTCATAAATCACAAATTCCCCCTCCACCCAGATAATCCAGACAGAAAGAGGGAGACGGAGACACACGTTGCCTGCCAAGCCATGCATATTCACATGTCCGTCTGTCCCGCTCTATCCGATTCTGCGGCGGTGGTGACAACCCTGCCGAAAATCCCCAACTAACTAACGGTAACTTGCTGTCGGAAATGAAACTTCCCCGACTTGCATAGAATCCCCACCATACAAAAATAAAATAAAGGCTATGGTAAACTTTAAAATATTTGAGTTTTGTGTCTCGCTCTCTTTTTGTGCATTGTGTTCGTCCGGCATTCTCCGCTTTTCCTGCTTTCCCTGCTTTCCCAGCCGTCCTGGCATTTCCCTTTTGTTAACGAAATAATTTTCTTGCCTCCAACGCTGCTGCCAAAGCCAAAAGCTTCCCTTTCAATTACACATTTCCCAATGATGGCGATTGAGCGGGAGAGCCAGGCGCATCGGGATGGGCGAAATGGCGCGAAAGGACAATGGCGGCGGCGGAAGGATGCGTGCGTTCGTGTTTGTGTGCTGAGTGCTCCGTTTGTGTTTGTTTGTTTCTGTGTGTGTGTGTGTTTGGAGGGCCAAGCGGATGCTGGCAAATCGCTGGACTGTGCCCCGATCTCTGCCTATATCAGACATGTGGGTGAAGTTGGGTGAAGTGGGGGGAGTGGGTGGGTGGAAAGCGGGGGGAGGGAGCCTTGGGGTAGGCAAAGAAACCCACTCAAGCACAAGCGAGATGATAATAATGTCTGATGTGTGTTTTGTCTGTTCTTCCTGTTTTTGCCGCTGCTGCGGTTGCCGGGGAAAGAGGAAAGGGGCAAGGAGGGGGTGGGAATATGATTTATGCTAGTCTGATGTGATTTATTCAAGCGAAGAATTTTGCTCAAATTTGATTTGCCATAACCGATTTTGCCACACTTTAATTGCAAATGTCTTAGGAAATTATGGAGCTGATTGATATTTACTAAAATTGTTTTTAGTTAGAGAAGTAACATATGTATTTCAATACATAAACGAGTGCTTGAAAATAATTTTACTATCAATTCGATGAGAAGTCTTTTTAATAAAGAAATAATATAAAATCAAGACTAACGCCATCTGACGCTAATTTCAGAAACTAACAGTATAACATGTCAAATGTCAAACTTTCGTCAAATTTGGCAGCCCCCTAAGGTATGCAACGAAAACAAAAGGACGGGCGCCATCTAGCAGAATAATAATGAACTGTCAGCCAATTCAAGTTACAGGCTTAACCAGTCCACTATGGGGTTAATAGTAGACCTGGGTTGATAAAATATTAAGTATAAATAGTAAAATACAGTAGAATCCGCTTATAGCGACTTTCAAGGGACCGACGATTTTTCGTCGTTATACCCGGAAGACGCTCTAAGCAGAAGGATTTACGTGTATAAGTCTGTCTGGGGACCAATCAAGCCATCGAGTTTTCGTCGCAATACCCGGACGGACACTATAAGCGGAGTCGTTATAACAGGATTCTACTGTATTGTTAAATTAACTTTTATGAATTATAATAAAATAAAGATTTTAATAAACGTTTTTGTATTAACAAAAAACACATTTACAAAACAATATCATATGCAAGAATATGGTAATTAAATTGTATTGTATTCATAATTTTATTATGGTTATCAGAGTATCTCTTTTTATAAACAATTGGCCTTTGGCTATTATTTGCTTTAGTTTTTTTATCATACGACATATATTCCAAAGGAATTATAAAAGTAAAAGTACATATTTCAAATGGAAACTCAGAAAGGAGTGCGAATTCGATTCACTTTATTACGAGCCTTACACTTCGGTTAATTTCTTAAAAGGTTTGCAACGTTAAATCAATACTTTTAAATTTTAAAAATAAAAGAGATTCTTCAAGATCCTCGCCCCACTGTGCAATGGCATTGGATGTGCATTCAGGTTCAGCGGAGACAGAAACCATAGTTTTAAGCCCAGCCCACTAAGCCACGCACACCATCGCACTCGACCCACTCGCAAACACACACACACATTCAGAAAGTGCGCATGCCATATGGGCAGTCCCGTTACCAGTTTTAAGCCACACACCACGACAGCTGATTGCTCAACCGAAATCGGGCCAAAAGTAGATGTGAATCCGATGGAGAAACGGAGCGGAGGGCCATCGGATGGGGTTATCCATCCACTGCGGAGATTTTAGCCACAATTCGGTTAATGAGCACATCAACACGTTCCCATTCCCATCCCGCTCGTCCACTCCCACGCATGCGCCATCCCTTTCTAACCAACGTGTCAGGAACCAAAGCGAACTAAAATGAAATGAAATGAATGACTTCTTTCTTCGGCCATCAACGTCAGGTTCAGCCATTTTGATTTACGACTGGCAGCGTAACTGCGACTGCTCAGCCGTCGGGGATGAAAACTACAGATTTCCGGAAATCCAAAAAACCATACATATATGAAATTAATTTTCCAGTCGTGTTACTGAAAATATTGGTACTAAGTAAATAGTAACCATTTAAATTAGGCAAACATTGAGAAAGTATAAATCAGTATTGAAAATAAAGATAGTTACTTTAAAATGCACTACTAAGAATCTTGCTGTTTAATTGTTCAAATACTTACAGATAACTAACACAATACTGTAAGTTTGGATGTGAAAAAGATAACATTAATTTTTTTTTGTAAAAACACAATCATTTTTAGACACAACATTAAAACAAAAATTCGTCTGACTATAGCAAATTTTTTTTTGTTTTGTTTTCATTTTGATATTACAACAGAAATCTTTTTTGAACACACAGCTAAGTTTTAAACAACTTCAAGCAACTAATTTGTTGTGCAGAGTAGCGTTCATAGAATTCCCTTTAAATCAACCAAATCAACAGCGAACGTAAATGGCAACTCTACCATCTTCCTGTTAAATTTGTGTTTTAATTTTTTTTGCTCATTGTCAGCCGTTAGACGAAGGCGTCGCCCGTCAGCTGTCAGTTCGTGTTCTCGTTCTGGTTGTTCTTGTTGCCACCGCTGGCTGGGTTGCCATTGTTGTCGGCATCATTTGAAGAAGAGGAAGCGGCAACGGTAAACTTATAGCCAGTTAGTGCGTCTCATCTTCGAGTGGAGAGGTGGGAGGGAAGGGGGAGTTCCTGGGTGGATGTCTCTCAATTAAAGCAAGTGGAGGGAAGCGTTCTGCTCGGCTGGCCGACCTCTGCCGGCGGCTTAAATTGCTGTTTTGCATTTTATTTAAATAATAATTGGCTTGACTAAGTTTTCGCAGGGCGAGGAAAAGGTGGAAAAGGTTGGTGGGACTGGGAGAAGGTGGAACGCATATCGTTGGCCTTAAGAAGCTAAAAAGAAGTGCGAGAATATTCGCTCCAATTAGGGGAATCACACAAGAAACTACGAAGAATGAGGAAATTTAATTAGAGACCATCTTAAAAAAGGTAGCAAACAACCTAAGATGTTATGAAAACCCTAGACAACTTGATCATGATTGTAATTTTTTTTTTAATGAGAGATGCATATAAAGAAAAATCCGTTTTACATATTTGTGACTGTAATGCTACCATACATCTATTTAGTGTTTTTATATATACATTCTTTTCACTCAAGTAAAAATCTGATTTTACAAATGGCCCTAAAATCAAGCATTCTCAATTCGTCTCTCCCCCAGAATAAATTTCAATATAATCACCTGAAAAAGAAGAAGACCCTAAAGCACGTGCTATTTAAGGGAGGCCTAAAAATGCCAAAAGAGTTTATTGTGCCATCAACTAAAAGAGCAAATAAAATTTTATTACCACTATAAATTTCAGGCACTTGAAGCGGCTCACCAAAAACAGAGGCGAACGCAAAGCAACAACAGAAGTGAAGCCTGAAAAAACTACGAAATTTTTCAGAAGCGTAAGAAGAACATTTTAAAAAGGGGTAAAGAACATTTTTGAGTGAAGTATAAATGTTCATCAATATTTTCAATAGTTTCAAAGACTATATTCTGAAAATGATTCTGAAACAAGTCTTTGTTAATTCTTTAAAACCCCTCTAACCGACGCCTTTGACCTGCAGGCCATGGTCAGGTTCTGGCTCAGCCTGCAGGAGGATAAACCCACGCGATTTGGCGACGTCGGCCAGACAGAGACGCCAAGACCAAGAAGTTGAGGAAGGAAAGGAAACCGGCGATACGCAAAAAGGGGGAAAAAGGGGATCGGGGACAAGTAGAACTCTGGCAATCGATGAGGGGGTTGCGGGGGTAGGGAGGCCTGCATTTTTCTCACATTTATCTTACTGCGAGTGCTGCGTTTTATTGCGATTGGAAATTGAGCTTGTCAACGCGGCAGCGGGCAACGCTTGGCTAGCCATCGAAACCAGGGGTGGAGCAGGGGCCTGGAAAAGGGGGAGGGGGTATGCGAGTGAGAGAGGGGTA